AATCATAGTAAACTCCGTATTTGAAACTCTCGAGTTGAATGCCGAGAATTGAGTAAGTCTAGTAAATTCGGTTTGCGTTGCCGCATCGTATTTCGCCAACCAGATAGAAAAGCATGCGCCAGCGCTTAGTTAGCATTCCACATTCGTATAGCCTATTGTATGATTAGCAAGCATGTTGTAGAACAAAAGAAACAACATTTTCAGAATATTAGCTAGTAAAGTAAAATCAAAGAACATAGTATGATGGCTAGCGACTAGCCATTCGTGATGCCTCTCAGGGCTGCATCAGCCATTCAGACAGATGAAATATTGGCTGCTGACAGCTGGCAGATGCTGGAAGAAAGATTTAACCGTATAATAAGTAAAGAATCGCCTTAATACGTAAAGCATCGAATGTTAAAATCAGATTTCTACATAATTTTTTCAGTTATACATGCTGCTATTTATATGTGCTATTTGTTTGCCGAGACTAAGGATGTGAGGGCCCTTATTGAGCGCCCCTACCGCCCGGCTGGTAATCGTGTCGCCCACCGAGCGGGTGGGTTTACGTCACTCCAAGGAGTGGCATGCCGCCCCGCCTTGGACTGAAGATGGGATGAAGCTTTTTCCCATAAAAAGTAAATTCGATCACACAGCAGCCCACTTCACATAGCCCCCGCTTGAGTCAGGTCTCAGTGGGAACCAGACTCCATTCTGCTACCGTCCTGGTAATACAGCTATTACAGTGTGTAGCTCCGGTTTCGCATAGCCTGAGTTGTGTCCGATCCAGACCCTATCTGTCATCACCATACAGGAGTCCTCCTGACCTGTGACACGGTTAGTTTATATCGGAGGCTATGGCCCGAGCCGAGACCTGTGTGGGACCAGAGAGCTCCGTAGTTAGCATGAGTGGAGTGACTTATTTTTGGCAAGTTTTGACCCGGTAGGGGTATATAGATTGTTTGCTTGTTTGGTGCCATCCAGCTTTTTTGGGGGTTCGTATTGGCTCTTGCTTGCTACTTGTATATCTATTTATGTGTTATATACTAGCTAATGAGAGCAAAGCCGTCACATTTATGTGCATTGTCTCCGCCTTTTATCAGCATGCAAAGCATGATTCGCTCTTACTAATTTCTTCGACCGCTATCTCCGCTATACGCATTTGCTAGATATGCTATCTATATTCATTGTTTTCGCATGTTATTTCAAATGCTTTTGTATACTCAAGACTGGGCCACAGTATCACGCCTAAGGCCAGACATTTATTCGTGTACTATAGACGAGGAGGCGCATCCGTGATTCCAGCCAGCTATTGAGTCATCGCCCTCACATCCGAGTCTGATTTCCAGAGGTGTGGCTCTTTTTTATTTTGATGGCCAAGATGGGTGTGGTCGGGGCCCCGTCCCGATCATTTATATTGTTACTCATGTAGGCCATGACAGTACATTTATCTCCCCGTGGCCGCCTGGAGTCGGTCGGTGAGGCCGTGCAGCTTGTATAGTTGTTTAGCATCTTTGTCTTTATGTTGGTCGTGAGGGGTCAGAGCTTGACAAAGAGGGTGACCTTGCCTGGCCACGTGTGATCTTTATAAGCAGGTTTGGGTTTCTTGTGATGACTAGTCACATGGTGGCCTTGTCTACTCGCGCATAGGTTCCCGATTTCAGTATGTTCCTCGTCACCTGTTATTGCTGTGTACAGTGGCTATAGGCCCAGATGGCCGGAGGCCGCAAGCAGATACCATATTAAATTTCCTTTGCTCTGCGAACTCCGATATAGAGCTAGCCAGCACTCCAGATGCCTGCCCACCAGCTTAGTAGTCCAGTCCTTCTTAGGGCACCAGTGTCACTCATACCCCCAAGGCGGGGCGTGACAAACACCATCCGGCTTATGGGCGGTTGGTATTGGTTCTTGCTTGCTATATATGTATTTATGTGTCATATACTAGTTAATAGATAGCAGACGCCACGACGACAGTACGCCCGCTCTCATCAAGACAAAAAGTTTGATCCAACTTATATCATTTTACAGACCAGTTTATTTCCGCTATTCCGTAATTGCTAGTTATATTGTTATTCGCTGTATTCGGCTGCTTTGCATACTCAGTACTGGCAGTACCACTGCCCGCTGGGCGCCTCGCATTACGGCCTGGTACTCATAGACGAGGAGGCGATCCTCGTGATTCCACTAGCCTATAGAGTCATCACCTCCGTCATTCTAGCTTGATATTTAGAGGTGTAGTTCATTTTCTTTTGTTGTACAAGAGGTAGGTCGGGGCCCCGTCCCACCATTTTATAAGTATTCATAGAGGCTTGCGTATTTGTATATATATATCTCCCGTGGTCAGCCAGCTACTGCAGGAGGCTGCAGTGTTTTGTCTTAGTTGTTTAGCATTTCGATTGCGTTGGTCGTGGTGGGATCATAGTCTCATAGTAGTGGTGACTCCTTGTCGGTCATAAGTTATACAATATTCTTTATGTTGAGTCACAAGATGACTAGACAAACATGGTGGCCTTGTCGGCCCGCATAGGTTCCTTTTATAAGTATGTTTCCGGTTAGCTGAAATTATTTGGTGTGGTTATAGGCCCACTTCTACGAGGTCAATGGCGCTGTTATGATAGCCCGTTGTTTTCAGAAACGAGAGCAGAACTAGTCGCATACCGCATGTGCTTAGGCTCACCGCCATGCACTTGTGTCCTTCTTGGGCACTGTGTGCCGCCTATACCCCCAAGGCGGCGACATGTAATCACACAATATTTTAATACTATCGCAAATAAAAAATAACAATATACAAGAAATTTTGTGCAGTAGAATGTTGACAAACTTCACACAATTTTTCTTTCTCTAGATTTATGAGTAGCATTTATCAAGGATTATTTTTTAATTACTTTTCCATGAAATTTTAATTATTTAGCGAGACTTTTAAAAATATATATATTAAAGAATAATTAAAATTCAAAATGTTGGAAATTAAGGTTCGAACTAAGCCACTTAAATAATGGATTATTCCCTTTTAAACTGTTAGTAATTCATCAATACATGAGTTTTAGCCTCAAATAATCTCTTTAATTTAAGGATACATTTATTTTTATTTTTATTTTTATTTTAATATTTTAACAAACATGGTCCTTTAAGTTTTTTTAAATTGATACTTCTAACACAATTGCTATAATATTCAGACTTAAAAACTTTATTTAATTATAATATCATGTGTTCTCTATGAATGATTATAAAAGCACAATTGCTTTTTTCTAAAATTTTAAAAATATTTTTAATTTTTTTAATTTTTTTATCTTTTTTGATTTTTTTAATTATATATAAATACAAAAATTAAAAAAACAAAAAAAACATGTAATTTAATTAAAATACAAAAATTAAATATTTGAATATTAGACGGTGAATATTAAATTAGTCATTTAATATAATAATTTTTAGTACACATAGACTATAGTTGGTTTCTCTATAGGATTTCTGGAGATTTTGTTTAGATTTTTTGTTGTTGTGTCTCTATAGTAATTTTTTCTTATTTTTTGTTTAAATAAATAAAAGAATACTTTGATTTAATTTGATGTTTATTTTAACTTTTGAAAATTTATTTTGACAAATACAAATAGATTAAAGTTATAAATTTATTTATTTAGATCATCTTTTAAAAATAAGAATGAATAATAATTATTAGATATCACAAAATATACTTTGTGATTATTTTTAGTATTTGAATAATTGAAAAATTTAAATTATAACTTTTAAAATTTTTTTTAAGATCATGCGAAGGCGCGAATAAATTAACTAATATTGCATATACCAGATGCTAAGATTATTATATTAAATTGTGTTTAGATATTTCAACTATTTTTTAATATTGAGAATTTTGTATCAATTTTCCAAGACTTTCAATTCTCACTCGGCAATTTTCTTATTGCATTTAACTAGCAAATTTCCACGCATTTAATTAGTGATGCAATAAAGAAAAGTGTGCAGAAGAATGATCGCATGTTGTGTATTAACTTTTTATGATGTACTTCTTTATTATATTGGAGTTGTTTATATTTATGACTATATATGACATTCAATAAGAATGTAATAAAATATTAAAAATAACAAACAAATTCAAAAAAACAACAAAAAACCAAAACAAAACATAAAAAATATTTTATATTTATGACATTCAATAAAATGTAATTAATATAGAAAAATAATTTTTTTATGTGTAGTAATATAACGCTTAATTAATTTTAATAGTTACGAGCAAATTGTTGATACTTTCCTTTCTTTAATTTCGATTTCATAATATACACATATTTTGGCTGAACTTATTATAAACAAGAGTTACAAACTAAAAATTTATAAAAATATTAATTTTGTTATTTGTACTTTCTCATGTGATTTATAGTATTTTTTATGCAATATAATAAAAATAGAAAAGAAATGAGGTTTTTATTTTTCTTTCAAAACTTGCATAAAACTACGATACATATTCCTACCTTAACTTACATTTTATTTCGTTTCCTTCAAGTTCTTCTCAATAATATGCAAATGAAATAAAAGAAGCGATATATCATAAAAATAAAAAGACGATATTTATTTGAGGTTTTCCAAACATATTTATTTTCTTTCTTAGAATTATATAGTAGCATTCATTTATTATTTGGTTCTTTGTCATTTCGTTTTTATAATATTTGTGCATTTATTGATATGTAATTTTTATATTTTATATTAATTTATTTGATTTAAACATAATATAAAATTTTACCTTATATTATTAAAGCTTAACTCTTATCTTAAAAAGAAACGCAAATAGATTTCTAAAAACAAATGAAAAACCTATATATTTTTCCTTTCAAAAATTCATATATCATATACATGTATATATTTATATATATTTTTAAAACATACATATTTATATATTTGTAGATATATAAAGAAAAATTTATGTTCGTATCCACATGTACATAAAAAGTTTAACTTGTTAAAATCAAATTATCATTTCTTTATAAAAATAAAGAGAATATATAGTTTCACTTAGCGAGGCAGAGGAATTGGTCAACTCGTCAGGCTCATGACCTGAAGATTGCAAAGCTCGAATCCTATCCCCGCCTAATCGCTGGAACATTGTTCACCGGTAGAAGGCCGGTCCCAATCCGTCTACAAAATGGGGTTGTGTTCCGCCTTGGTTGGTTCCACCTCTTTGCAGGTAATGACACCAGTAGCTGTGGTTACATATGACCATGTCTGTCACTATTGAATTCCAACTGAGCCCTTTCCTTAAAGTCAAGTAGTTTTCACTCCTTCCTCGCTCTAAACTATTGTGTGCCTATTTGGAAGACGATTTAAAATTATAAAAATATAAAATTTAATTATTAATTTTATATTAAAAGTTCTATTATTTACTTTTTTACCTTTTTTAAAATTATTCAATATTTTAAAATTTTGTTTTGTCAATTTCAACGAGGTATTTTTTGACAATCGGAAGCATGGCCAAATTTACTAGTATTAATTAAGAGCGGGAAATGACCAAAAGAAATGCAGAGATCGATGATAATTTTATTTTAAAATTATCTCAACTATTATCATTTTTTTAGTTTTCAAGAAGAGTTTTTTTTTTAAAAAATTCCAAAATACAAAAAAAATCCATAAAATTAAAATTCTAAATATTATTAAAAAAATAGTAACAAGCATGTTTTCGAGATGTACATCCAAAAATCAAATGCCCCATTGTTTCTTGGGGCACTTGATTAAATATTAAGGAGGATCCGCATGTACATACAATCTCTATATAGAATTTACATAGTTTGACCCAATATTTTCTTTAGCAGCTTAAGCATTACAAATAGCGTATTTTAGCCAATCTTGTATTCAATCTGAAATTATATTGAAAAAAATATTCTTTTTCAAAAATTAAGTTTAGAAAATATTTTTTTCCTTTAAAATCATGTTAAATTAAGCTACTTGAAAATTAATTATAACGTAATAATAGGAAGCATAAATGTTAGCTCGCTTTCTTATATGCGATATTAATGCATTGTATATATTGCATGATGTACATTTTATGGCTTTAATGTGTCTTATTATACATAAATCAGCATTCATTTTATTTAATCGATAAATTATTGAGTATAAGAAGAAAGATAATATCCTCGTACATTTTTATAATATGTACATGTATCTTGAATTAGCTACATGTATGCGTCAAAACTGTATACATTATTATCATTTGTATACATAACTGAAAATAGTTCAATTGACATCGACTTTAACAATATGTATATCAATAATTTGTCATAGTTATTCACATTATGTATATCCGAATGTGTAACTATTACTACATAACATGTATACTAAATATATATATTTATTAATTTATAAAATATGTATCTAAATGTTGCTTGTATTAAAATTTTAACAGCAAAGCTAATCTCCACCCTGAAAGTTTTTGATTGGCAAGGATGTTGTGATCTTTTTTGTCACTCTCATTTGGGACTTCCATGTCCCCCCAGAACTGTTGGTGGCCATTGCCCTATTTGATGTCATGTCCTTTGAAGATACTCATGAACATTTTATTGATACAATGATAGTGAAAATCTAGGATATATTATGATAAATTTTTGAATTTGATTGGAGATATTTAAGAAAAATGAAGGAAAGAACTGACAAAGTGGAGGAGAGAGACGTAACAACAAAAAATAGAGTCTAAAAATAAAGTAAGTTTATAGGTCATGTGGATACTCTAAATAAATAGCCTTAAAACATGGATTATTTAGTGCTAACATTTGAAATGGTTGTTATTTTGTATCAATTCTATATAGGGGTTCGATACACTGTGCAATTTTTATAAAGATTAATACATAAGGGAGTTTTATGAATGAAAATGAAAAATGGGTATTGGGATGTACGAGATAGAGAGTAATGAAAATCGATGTTAGGGGTGTGGCCGACTCTTAGCTCAGAAGCTCAGAGTCAAATTTCGAGTTTGATCTTTATACTAGATCTAGTCTCAAGTCGGGCGAAACTCTGAATTTAGGTCTTGGACCGAATCCCATACTAGGGTTGGGACCCAGAGTTGGGGTCAAGGTCAAAAGTTGATCCACTCGGGTCCGAATTATGAGTTTGGTCTCCTAGTCAGAATTGGGAGTCAGGTTTTGATACGTAATCAACAGATATGACTCGAGTCTCGGTCGAGACCCTAGTTCAAAGTCGTAGAATCCGGGTCCCGAGTCCTGCTAGAGTCGAGTTCTAAGTGTCCAAGATTAGAGCTAGGTTAGGGGTCAAGAGTCGAATCTCTTGTATCTCCTGGTCAAGTCCCGATTCAAGCAGTTAGGTTCGAAATCAGTCTTGAGTCCAGATCAATGTCAGCAAGCGGTGGCTATGGTCCCGGGGTTAGAATTGGGTGTCACGTCTTGAATCGAGTTTTGAATCACGTGTTAGGTCAATTTTTATATCTAGGTTAAGAGCTCCTGGACCGAATTAGTTCCTGACCCATGTCAGGGGTTGGGGTGTAAGGTTCCGTGTCAAGTCTTGGGTCAGATTGAGAATCAATTTTGAACCGGGTCTGTGGTCGCATTCAAGTCCCGAAAGCTGAGACTAAGGTAAGGTTCCAAGGGCTCTATTTACTTGACATTGATTTTCGAGTTAGCACGGACTTGGATCGAGATCAGGAGTTGAGTTTTGATCCTGATCATGTTTAAAGTCGGGTTTCAAATCAATGAGTTAAGAAATATTTTTTACTTTTGTGTAGAAGTCATTTTTCCTAAATTGGAGAAAAATAAGTCTATTTGAAAATCACTTTTCAACCTGTTAAAATATTAATGGATTGGATGAATTGATAAAATGTGAGCTTATTTTACTTGAGCATTATCGTAAACTAGTGGAATCTTTTGTTAAAAGATATATAGAGTTTAAATATTTATTTTAAATAATTGATGAAATTCAAATAGATAAATTTTCAAAGTTTAGTAAAAGTTTTCTAAAAATTTTCCGAACTTTAACTAAAAATATATTTAGTTTGAGATGGGGAGTAATAAAATGCAATTAAATAAAAATTCAATTTATTTTTTCACGCATCAAAATTCTTGTACGTTAATAAAAAATATTGAAAAGTGAAACAAAGAAAAGAACAAATTCTTGTTTTTGCTTAAATTGAACATGAAAAGAATCATTAACTTCTCATTATAAAATTAAAATGCATATAAAATTATTATTTCAATCACATAACATGTACCTTAATATCAATCAAATTGGAGTACTTGTGGTATTATTTAAAATATAACAAAAAAAAAAGTTCAAGAATATGAAAAAGGAGTTCTGTAATTTAGTGTTGATAGCTCAATAAGCTATGAGCTAATTAAATATGTTTAGAATCGTGTTAGATAAATTTAAACTATAGATAAAACACCAATTTCTAATGATTGAAGATATATTAGATCTGAAGAAACGACACCTATTTCTATATTATTTTCAACCCACTTACGTAACTACTTTATAGGGATTGAAAATGATAACATATAATATTTATATTCTACCTTTTTAATGTAATAAAATATTATTGAGGGGCGCAAAATAGATGCAAAATTAAATTGAATTGAGAAAAACAAGAAGTTAATTCGTATAGAACATATGAAAGGAAAAGTTGAACACTAATTTTCAGCTAAACACTATCAAGGTGAAAGAAGAATTTTTTTTTAATCTTTTCTGATGTTATTTAAAGAAAATAATATAAAAAAATTAAGCCAATGCCATTTTTCAAAAATAAATTTGTTTTTGGATAATTTTTTCACCATTTGCTCTCACAATAAGCAATTTTTCTTATGAATTTTAAAAGTAAATTTAGAAAAAATGATTGGTCTTACATCCGAGACTAATGTGATGATTTCGAGAAAAAAGCCTTAGTTCAAGGTGCATTATATAATGTGTCCGTAAACTGATATTACTTTAAGATGCACATAAATAAATTAAAATCAATCTCAATCATTTATATAATTTAGAGTAAATGAAACAATAAAGATGAGATTTCCTATAGCCAAGTTTCTGGATAAAGAATGATCAATCTTCGGTACTAAAATTTTAGATGATGAAATTATTAAATGCTAAAAAAATTTAAGTGCTGAAATTTCGTGGAAGAAATAGTAATTATAATGAGTTGGTGTGTGTGTGTGTATCAATTACCGCATCTTTAAAGAATTGATGCATCCTATGAACAATAAATGAAACTTTTTATATTTAATTTTTAACAAACTTAAAAAAAAATATTCTTAATTTCATCATCATCTTCTTCGTAGATATAGTACAAAAATTTTTGAAGTTAGAACCGATGGTATTTTGACCAAACTTCTAAAATAAAGTTTTGGAGAATTATTTATCTTCTAAAAGAGCTTGTGTTACTACCGTAGAAAATACTTATTTTCTTTCAAAATTTGGCCAAACATCTCACTATTTTTTTTTTAAAATAAGCATTTTTATCTCTCAAAGCTTAGATAATCAAGCTATAAATCTCATTCTCTCCTTGCTCGTCTCTTATATTTCTTTGCTCTCCATTGAATCACTAAGAGAGTACTCAACGTTTAGCGGATTAATTAAGGAAAATAAAAAAGTATAAATTCATTTAAGATTGACCATTCTTTATCGAAATCATAACTATAAGAATATAGAACAATAAGATAAGATGCACATGGTGAAAAAAGCACAAAACAACATCCAATTTAATTTCAATCATACACATTATATAAAGAAGAAATGAAATCAATTGTACCATGTTAGTCCTTTCTTTTTCAAATTTCTAAAAAATCTTTATCCTATCATGTATCAAAAAATAATCCAAAAATTAAGAAGCACCAATAGAGTTTTTAGATTTTTGAGTTATGAAATATGGGGATATTACTATGTTAGATATTTAAAAAAATTAAATTATCAATGTTTTGTCGTAGTTATTGGTTATTAACGTCTCTAGCTTTGTCCATTCCTACCTTCCCTACGGTAATCTAATAGAAAATCACTATCAAACAACCAAAAATATGAGACCATAAGAACCTCTTTTGTGCAAGAAAGTAAAAAATAGTAAAAGGTAGCATTATGGAGGAAACTTACCGCTTTAGCTATGCATTAC